ACTGGATTCTACTTTAAACAATAAGAATGTATTATTACTCTCCGAGTTTAACAGAAGAATCATGATGAAATCGATCATAAACGAAAATGATATGTTCATCATTAATTAATCATAGCTAAGGATCGGAAGCTCGTGAAGGAAAGTAAGTTCAAATATATATATATATATATATATATATATATATATATATATTCAGGATAATCTTTCAACTTATTGATGATCTTCACCCTCTCTAACCTTCTAGCTTTCTGTCCTGGGATAACAAAGTGCTTCACATGTTTCACGTACGATTTTATTTTCAAGTCTTTTTTCACTGCGCTTTGGACTGTCATAGCTGAAACTTCTCTGTTATGTGTCAAACGTCTTACAAATTGAGTTGGATTTTTTCTAATTGACTTCTTTAAAATGATTATCCCTCATGCTGTTGAGACCTCTTGATCCAATTTTCCTCTCTACTCTTCCCTCTTTTTATAACAAGTTAAAATCGTTTTATGTCAACACCACTGCCTTCCCAAATGAGTAATGGTGAGAGGAAAAATATAATTCAGGCCTTCAGTAATGGTGCCAACATTCATACTCTGGCTTCCATCTTCAAATCCCACACAAGAACCAACAAAAGAAAACATGTGAGGCACGTTGTGTAACAGCAAAATTGTCCAAATCGTATTACAGCATCATTGTCCATCCCACAAAATGTTTAATATCTAAAGAAGCTCTAAACTAACTGAGACGGTTAGCCATCTTGCTGTCATTTGTTGTAAAAATCACAATTTTGCTGTTCCACCCGGTACGTAGGATAAAATATAGTTTTATCCTATGCTATATTAGGGATACAGCGTATGTAAATTTAAAAGTGGACATTGAAGTGAACATTTAACGCAATCGTCAAGCCATATGCGCACACACACACACACACACACACACACACACACATATAAATAAATATATATATATATTAATAGTAGTAATAATCTTATAAGTATAAGGAACTATACTCGTTCGGAAAACCTTCAGTGTCTTGATTTGCAAATAATCAAACCAATACCAAAGGGGGGAAAAAAGATATAAAAAAGAAAGAACAAAGAACATGTACGTTAGCCGAATATAATCGTCTAGCATGCAAGTCCAAAGTCCAGAAAAAAAAACCGATACGAGTAAGCAAAATAACTAAATAATGTGCTCGATACAATGAGTAGAGCAAACTTAGTTAACCCTAGAGAGCCAGACAAACCTACCAAGGTTTCACCTGACGATCCATCCGCTTAGGTGAAACCTTGGTAGGTTTGTCTGGCTCTCTAGGTTTAACTATATATATATAGATAGATAGATAGATAGATAGATAGATAGATGTTATCGTAAATGACAAGTGATATGATTTAATGTATAATAAACAAGTGAGTAAATGCTGTTGTAGAATTTTTATTTTATTTTATAATGCAGTTATTATTTTAGCTTTGGATTATTTTATGTATTATATCTTTTAAATAATAGTTATGAATTTTAATCACTTTCTTTAAATTTTTTTGCATTTTCATAGTCATGTCTGTTGCCTTCGAAAAGGATTATTTCTTTCAGGAATCGAGATATTTGAAAAATTCTGGGTAGCAGATTTATATTTTGGCAAAATCTGATAGCCGCACTTTCAAGAATTTTCCGTTCAACTAAATTATTTTCTATTTTAATGTGGCATTCTATCCATTGATTTTCTGGTGCTAAGATGATTAAGTACATCTTTTAATACGGACAAAGCACTAAGTAATTCATCAATAATTTTCAGTTAATAATAGTTTATATACGTCTCTAATGGTAGAGATACAAGGGATGCATAATTACTGGCTCAGATGTTTATTATTGTATTACTAATCCATGACTTGTGTTGGTCCAACAAAAAGGTATAATCCAACAATTCTGCAACCAAGTGTAGCGAACATTTGGCGGTGTACATGTATGCAAGCGTATTGGATTTAATCAGCTTGAACTGCATTAGTTGTAGCTTTTCTAATAATCTTAAGATTTTCTAAACGCATTATCCAAAGACGTTTGCAGCATGTGTCTTTGTCCAGTTTATTGTCAAAGGAAAGGACACAAATATTCTCATATTTAACCTTTACAGGCTTCTGTTCGAGTATTTAATTAACCTTATTACGCTAATTAAGCCCGTTCATTGACGCCATCTTTAGGTGAGAATTATTGCGTTGGTTGATGCATAGAAGCCACCAATTTCCAAAATCTCCCAACAGACCTGTCCATAGGGCTTACACATTCCAGACAGAATAACGCTTAGTGGCATAAATATATACTCTCGTTAATTAGGATGACCGACTAATTAATAATCTCAAATAATTTGCGCTAATAGTTTGGTATGAGAATATACAAGCAGATAGGTAAATATTTCAATAGTGAAGATGTTGTTATTGGATGATATTAATAACCATTTTTAGGACTCATTGCATTACCCAGTCTTCTTCATCTATGAGGAAATTATACAGCATTCACTGGCATATAGGAGATTAGTGATTACACGGCATTTCAAGATTTGTCTTTGGTTCTGAAGATATTTTCCCACGTAGAAATAATGAAAGCATTAAAACACGGGAAACTATATTTAGAACCAAAGAAATACGTTGAACTGCAATGTAATAGCTAATCTCTTATATGGGTGGATAATCAATCGGCTAATCGGCTAATACCTGCCTAGTATAGTTCATATGCAAATAGGCAGAGCCACCTACTCTAAGTAGGTCTACTCTCAACAGTCTATTGTGGAAGAGGACGCAATCGCTGGTGCTTACAGCACCATATGCAACCAACTTGGGGTCTTTTATCGGGATGACCCGATTCTTTGTTACAGAGGAACGGCGTAGTTTTAATGAAAATGGAAGCTAAAAGAACACTTATACTTAAAATCAGAAAAGGCCGGCTAAAATTTTTGGGATGCATAACGAGAAAAGTGCCCGGATATACTGAAGGCAAGAGAAAGCGACTAAATGGGGAGTAATCTACCTAATGAGTTTCAATGATTGACAGAAAGGAATGATAAAGTGTCAAAAGTTATTTCGAGCAACAAAAAGACGAGAAATCGTAGAGAGCCATGAGCGTCCACGTCCTGAAAGGCCATTGCACATAAAAGAAGACGCTTACGTTTGGTGTCTAAAATGGCGTTTGTGCTTAAGTAATTCAGCAAATGACTTGCACTTTTTGCTACAGAAAGACCCAGAATGACAAACTATTGGTCAAACCTATTATGACTCGAACAGAGTAAGGTGGGGTTGGACCCTGTGAGCGTGGAATTCTGATTGTGAAGGATTGCCTTTATTTAAGTTCTTGTATAAGATCATAAAGGCGCATAGACAATCAAAGTCTTGCAAGAATTAGAAGGATCGAGAAGCCTCGCTGCCTTCGGATTCATTAGTGAGGCAAGTCTGCACGTGGTGATAAGATTTTAGTCAACCGGTTAACATGGGTTTTCTCTCTCTCTCTCTCTCTCTCTCTCTCTCCTTATATATATATATATATATATCTCTCTCTCTCCTTCTCTTTCCCCCTCTCTTCCCATCTCTCTCCCTCTCTCTCTCTCCCTCTCTCTCTCTCTCCTCTCTTTCTCCCTCTCTCCCTCCCTACAAATGCTCCGACTACTGCCACTCATAAAGTAAAGGTGAGTAAAAAGAAAATTATCCGTTGTTGATGCAGTCTGCGATCTGAAGTACTGAAGCCAGAAACGACACGAAACGAACGTTCACCTTTTACAAGATCCGGGGTTCACTCATGGTAAAGGGTTACGTTAAGTGATAATTTACACAGATAGGAGACAAAGATAACGGTTAACTCTAGGCTTGAACAGGTTAAAATTGCAATGATCGGGGAAATATCCGCTTGGGAACCTGTTTCACAGAGCAGTGCTTCACGGAAAGCTGTTCGAGTGGAACTTACTTCTCACCAATGGAATACGGAGGGAATGTGGGTTGTTTTGCTAAAGTGTGAGTGACATGGCGGGTCCTTGCTGTGAAAGTTAGAACTAGCAGAACCAAGGAATGTAATTAGTCTGAGCATTTTCCATGGAAATAACTATAAAACAATGAGTCTCGCCACATCCCGCTTGTGAAATAGAGGCTGGAAGGTGACAAATAATTTGTCATCCATAAGAACATTATAACATTTTTCCTGTTTATAGATTATATATTTAAAAATAAATATCCTATTCACCACTAAAGAATTAACGATATATATGTCACTAGTCATTTCAGAGTTTGTGAGGTGGAAAATTGTTATATACACAGAAAAGCATATGGAAAGGACAGTGAGTCGGCTGATTTAAAAACCCACTGTCCCCAACTGCTCTAATATGTATATATGTTTTCATGCGTATGTATGTGTGCCCGTGTATATGTATATGTATGTACACTTGTATATGCATACGTATATATGTATATATAAGCAAACAAACCAGGCATCCCAACGCAACACATAATATCAGGCAAAACAGAGCACCCCACAAACTAAAAAATGTCTCTAATATATATATATATATATATATATATATATATATATATATATTGTGTGTGAGTGAGTGAGTGAGTATGAGTGAGTGTGTATGTTTGCGTGCGTGCGTGCACTAGTATATATGAGGGGGCAAATGGTCTCACCCTTCTGGAACCCACATGCTTCGTTCGAACTGGGCATTTTCATGATGTAAAGGTACGCTGGTTCCACCTCCCATTGTCTTGTCATACAGTCACCCAATGCCGTCAGTGAATATTTCAGACGGAAAAGCATCTATGTCTCAGCTTTCTCATTTTACTGTTCATTTTCTTTCTCTTTTTTTTGTGTTCTCTCTCTCTCTCTCTCTTTCACTCTCCCTTTCTCTTTCTCATTTTCCTCTCTCTTTTGCTCTTTCTCCTCTCACTTCTTTTTTTGTCTCTTTCTTTTACTCATTATTTCTCTCTTTCTCTCAAAGGTTAAAAGTCAAATTAATAACTCAGTTAATATTGGATTGGTGCATAATTATCAGGCGTTTTAAAACACTATTTATTATGAAAAAAGAAATTTAACAGATCAACAATAACCTTTTTAAATGATTATTCCGGAGCGTATGATTATCGAAACGTATTTTTATAACCTGAAAATAAAATAATATTTTTCTTAAAAAACTAAAGAAAAAGCAGTTTTTTATTAACAAATAGCTCGCCTACAAGAACGCCTGATAATTATGCACCAACCCAATGCTTACATAGTTTCTTTTCTCTTCCTCCTTTTGTATTTGTACTTCTTTTTTTTCTTTTTTACTTTCTCTCTTTCTCCTTCTCTCATTTTCTCGATTTCTTTGTTTTAGAGAAAGAGAGAGAAAAAGAGAAAATGAAAGATACGGATCTTTCATTCTTTTTTTCTTTTCCCTTTTTCTTTTCTCTTTCTTTCTTTTTCTTCTCTCTTTAACGTTTTTCCTCTGTCTCTTTCTCAATCTTTTCAAAACGTTTCTCCCCACCCCGTCTCTTTTTCAATCTCTCCTTATCTTTTTTTTTTCCTTTTTCTTCCTCTCATCTTCTCCTTTTGTCTTTTTTCTCTCTTTCTTTTTTCTTTCCTTCACTTTTTCTCCCCTTCTCCTTTATATTTCTAATCTCCTTCCAATATTTTTCTCTGTCTCTCACTTTTTTCTCTCTTTTTCACTTCCACGCATTTACCTTCCTCTTACTCTCTTCCTTCTTAATTTCCCTCAGTCCTTCCTTCCTTCCTTCCTTCCTTCCTTCTTTCTTTCTTTCTTTCCTTCCTTCCTTCCTCCTTCCTTCCTTCCTTCCTTCCTTTTCTTTCCTTCCTTTCTTCCTTCCTTCCTTTCTTCCTTCCTTCCTTCCCATCCCGCCCTCCTTCCTTCTTTCCTTCCTTCCTTCCTTCCTCCATTCCTCCTTCCTTTTCTTCCTTCCTTCCCTTCCCTCCTTCCTTCCTTCCTTCCTTCCTCCTTCCTCCTTCCTTCCTTTCCTTCCTCCCTTCCTTCCTTCCTTCCTTCCTTCTTTCCTTCCTTCCTTCCTTCCTTCCTTCCTTCCTTCCTTCCTTCCTCTCTTCTGTCCTTCCTCCTTCCTTTCTTTCTTTCCTTCCTCCTTCCTTCTTTCCCTTCCTTCTTTCCTTTCTTCTTTTTCCTTCCTTCCTTCCTTCCTTCCTTCCTTCCTTTCCTTCCTTCCTTCTATTCCTTCCTTCCGTCCTTCCTTTCTTCCTCCCTCTTTTAATTTTCCTGTCCTTCTTTCCTTCCTTCCTTCCTTCCTTCCTTCCTTCTTTCCTTCCTTCCTTTCTTCCTTCCTCCTCCTCCTTCCTTCCTTCCATCCTTCCTTCCATTCCTTCCTTCCTTCCTTCCTTCCTTCCTTCTGTCCTTCCTCCCTTCCTTTCTTTCTTTCCTTCCTATCTTCCTTTCTTCCTTCTTTCCTTCCTACTTCCTTCTTTCCTTTCTTCTTTCCTTTCTTCCTTCCTTCCTTCCTTTCCTTCCTTCCTCTATTCCTTCCTTGCGTCCTTCCTTTCTTCCTCTTTTAATTTTTCCTGTCCTTCTTTCCTTCTTTCTTTCCTTCTTTCCTTCCTTCCTTTCTTCCTTCCTTTTTTTCCTCTTCCTTCCTTTCTTCCCTCCCTCTCCTCCCTCCTCCCTCCTTCCTTCCTTCCTTCCTTCCTTCCTCTTTTTCTTCCTTTATCTCTTTTTTAAATCTAATCCCTCTTTCTTTCTGTTTCTCTCGCTTTAATTTTCTCTTCTTTTTCTATCTTTCTCAATTCTCCTTTTCCTTTTTTCTTTCCTTTTCCTTTTCTCTTGACCTTTGTTTTCTTTCTCTCTCTCCCCGCCTTCTCTCCCTCTCTCTCTCTTTAACGCTTCACTTCTTCTCTCTATTTCTAAATCTCTTGACCCTCTTTCATTCACTTCCATTTCTCGCTTTCCCAATTTTCCCTTTTCATCTCCGCTTTCTTTTTTTCTTTCTTTTTTCCATTTCTTTCCACCTTTGTTTCGTTTCTCTCTCTCTTTATTTCTTTCACTGTTCTCTCTATTTAATTTTTCTTTCACCTTCTCTCATTTTCTAAATCCTTTCTTAACCCTCTTTCTTTCACTTTATCTCGCTTCTTTTTCTCTTTTTCTTAATTCTCCATTTTTTATCGCCGCTTTCTTTTTTTCTCTCTCTCTTTCTTTTTTCTTTTCTCTTATTCCATAGCAGAATCTCCATACCCAACCTTATATCGCTACTGCTATCGACGATTAATTTACACCACTAAATCTTCCCCTGTTCGTAATTATTCAGGTGAAATTTGATATTTTCGATAATTACTGAGAAACAATACTGAATGATTTGAAATCCCAACGCTCGGTGGTAAATGCTGACCAGAGGACAACTTTGAACAGAATAGAAAGAATGCCGACTGGGGAAAAAAAAAAAAAAAGAGAGAGAAAATGGACTTTATAACGATATTTTTTTTAAAATCCTTTTTCTGTTTTTCAAATCTTTTATTATAAATATCTTTTTGAGATTACGTTTTGTTTTACGCAGCCAAATATTTTGATGGATTTGTAATTGGTTCCCTGTCGTCAGAATTTGTTTTTTCGTTTTTTTTCCCCCTTCGCTTTTCCTTATTTAATTAGACTAAAATGTTACTTGAAAATAAATTCATTCGTTTAGCAACATCCTGACAAATACTGACTTCTTGCATAATTTTCCAATGCCATCATGTGCACAATGTTAGGGAAATCTCAAAAGCGTCTTTTAAAGTTCTTAGGGTTCATCAAAGAGACCGGAACAAGGGAGACTATATTTAAACTCAGAATTTTACCAGAGAGAGCAATACAAATGCAGAAGGACGTTTCCTTGTGTTTTATAGATTACAAAAAGACGTTCGATAAAATACACCACAAAAATCTCTTAGAGCTGCTCAGCAATATTTTCATATTCAGGAAGGATATAAGAATAAACAAGAACCTATACTGTCAGCAAACCGCCTGCATACGAACAGGGAATGAATTCAGCAGATATACAAAAACAGAAAGGAGTATAAGACAAGGATGTGTCTTCTCGCCGGATTTATTCAACTTATACAACGAGGCATTTTTCTGGGAGAATTAGAAGTCCTACCATTCATTATTGGCGGTCACAATAACAATATAAGATGTACAGATGACACAGTGTTGATAGTAGGCACAAAACTCCTACAGAAAGTAACGAAGGAAAAATAGAAGAAAGGACTAAGTATAAACTACAAGATGAAAGAAAATATTATTAGACATGACAGGAATACGGATAAAAAAAAAGGTATACAAAAATAGGAAGGTGTATAAGACAACGACTTTATTTCACCGGATTTATTCAACTTATGCAGCTAGACATTTCTATAAAAGATGAACGGGGTTCAAAATGACAGAAGATAGCGATTGACATTGCATTTAAATTTTTGAAGATTCTAGTTATCAGCGAAGAAAGTAAACAGACTGTCGAGAAGTGCGAGAAAAGAAACTGTTGGAGTAGAAGTGACGGTTACATTTAACTAATTCAACCGTAAAACGGTAGAACCTGGATGCCAATCTAGTAGCACGCTTAAATTCATGTAGTCGCGGCACCAGGGGAAAAAAGCTCGTCAGAACAGTTGCCATGAAAATATTGGTAAAAAAAAAGACAGAGGGAAGCCACCTAACGTCTGTGAGAAACTGACTGAAGTCGAGATCCTTCTTTGGTTTTTTTTTTTTCAAAAATCTTGAGATGAATAGCAAGAGCAACAGAGCAACTTTCCTTGCAGTAGATGCAGCTATTGATTCAATGTAGTTGTTTCACTTTAAGACAATTGAAAACGTGAGGTCAAGAAGATTCAGTGGGACGCCCTCCAGGAGTCGAGCAACAACCATGCTGATGGCGGACAGGGAAGTTTCTCTGTGGTGGTTAAATGAGAGCAGTTTCGTTTTGGGGGCACTAAAATTACCAAGTCATTTCCTGCCCCAGTTAACCACTGCTTGGGGGTCATTTTTAAGAGCCGCGGCCAGGTTAACTTTGTCAGCTCTGACGGATTTGCTATCAAGACAAGAGTAAATAATAGTGTTATCTGCATTAATGATTACTTGGGAACTGATGACATCAGGAAGATCTTTGATGAAGATCAGAAACAGCGTAGGACCCAGGATAGAACCTTAGGGTAAACCCGGGTTCGGGTGAAAGGATCTGGAAGCGAGCCCGCTCAGAACGACCTTCATTTCACGATTTGAATGGAATGACTGGATTAAATCAAACAATCGTCCTGTAATACTGTAGCCTTGAAGTTTACCGTCCTGGGTATGACGATAAACTACATCCGCGTCCTGGGTAAGACAATAAACTACATCCGCGTCCTGGGTAAGACAATAAACTACATCTGTGTCCTGGGTATGACGATAAACTACATCCGCGTCCTGGATAAAACGATAAACTACATCCGCGTCCTGGGTAAGACAATAAACTACATCTGTGTCCTGGGTATGACGATAAACTACATCCACGTCCTGGGTAAAACGATAAACTAGGTCCATCAGCAAGACCTCTGAGGGGGTTTGAGGAGTGTGGAAACACCTTAATTTCTGGTGTCCCCAGGTTCACCCTGACCGGTGGTGTTAGCTCCTGTTAGGGTTCCAGCTACGGGTAAATAATTAACCCTCAAACTGGAGTCAAAATACTATGAAAGTGCAAAAATAGGTTTTAATACCAGAAATACCTTATAAAAAATTATTATCAGCAATAATTTTTGAAGAAAAATTATTACCAGCAATACATTTTTTAAAAAATAAAAAATTACCAACGTTAAAAATCTTGTCGGCATTAAATAACACATTAAAGTTGGTATGCCGTAAATGCCTACCAAGGGTCATTAATTGCTCTCTCTTGTGTAATAGATTCTTGCGGATTCTCTACAGATTCCACAGTTTTTTCTGTCCGGCATTAATCGTATCTTTCATCGTTCCCGGGCTTAGCCAATATTTTCCATGTAACTCTTGGTGCTACTTTTCCGTTATCAGTAGCCTCCCAATAGAAAGCAGAAAACGCAGTAAAGTCCTTATACTTTCTGTTTGTCAAACACATCTTGTGATCATAGAAGCGTCACCTTCATTCACTCTCAGCAGTCTCTATATAATACTTGACTTCGCCGTTAGCTATCGCCATCGCTTCATAAGTAACATCCTTCGACAAACATTCTCGTTTAATGGGCAATCAATCTTTACTCTACAGTTGCACTTATTGTTTTTCTTGCCATCACGCTCCGCCAATAATTTTCTACTATGGTATACTGCTATCTTTTTTTTATATTGCCAGTGATGCTGTAGCTGTCTTTTAAATTATTTTATTAAATAAATTCTGAGGTGAATTTGCAAAATGTTTATTAATTAATTTCTAGAACGTTCTCGCCGCAGTATTTTTAATATTAACATTATAAGGAGGAATGAACAAACTAATTTTGCCTTTTCTTTTTTGTTATTCTTATTTTTTATCCTTTTTATTGTTATTTTCACTATTTTTATCTCCCCTCAAATTTCATTCGGGCCTTATTTTTTCTCTCTGGTGTACCGTAGTGTTGAAACTTGACTAATGCATGGAATAATAATACAACACAAAATGTACTTAGAACAAAATGTATTGAAACAAGAAAGTGTACACAATATTTACATATAGTCTTTTGTATATTCCTGGGAAGACCGTTCCTGGAGAATGTGTTGACTTAGTCGCAGTCGGGCAGAGTCTCTGGATTGAATCTCTTGATTCCTTCCTCTCTTCCCGGTACCAACCATATTTATATGGTCGGTACTCCACTATGCAAATTAGGTGGATCCTACCACAACATGTAGCCGCATTATTAAATATGTCTTCATTGGAAAAAACTTGCCTGTACGGATTTATATAGATGTTCGACGATACTTGCTGTTTAGCGGCGTATCAACTCCTTATGGGTCATTTAATGCCGAAATTTAATTTTCTAGGAAACATTAGTGTATATATATATATATATATATATATATATATATATATAAATACAAAAATGTATTGCTGCTAAATATTTTTTACTATAAAATTGCATTGCAGGTATTTTTACTATAAAATGTATTTTTATATTTTCATTGTGTTTTAACCCCAATTAACTATTCGCCCATAGCTGAGAACCTAACAGGTGCCCTCACTCTGGATCAGGGTGGACCTGGGGAAAACAGCAATTAAGAGGTGGTTCCACACTCCTCAAAAATCCTCCCTTCGGCTTTGCTACCAGATGTATTTTATCGTCATACCGAGGACAGTGGTTGGTTTGACTCCGTACTAATATACTTAATTGTACTTAATATCTTGGTGGACGACCTGAACGATCCTGTTCATAGGTTAAACGTGGAATCTAAAAATGGTTATCTCGTTAAGTTACTGCTAATAGTAATTTGAAAATCATGGTTTTTAATTGATTTACGGCTTATCAAAACTTTGCAGGTTATTTAAAGCCCCCAAACATTTTTTTGAGATTATACGAATTTTTTTAAGAGAATAATTCTTTAGTGATATACATCTTACCAATTAACCCATAGCTATGGAGAGAAGAGACAGATTTATACATTTCCTAAGGATATTTTCGGCTAGTAAATATGACGAAACTAACTGGAATTGGAATTCGGCCCTCCTATTAATAATTCCGAGCCAGTATTCATTACACCACCCGCACATCCAAGCTTAA